GAGCCACCCAGCAGTAGCATACTGTCAGACATTAGCAGAAAATACATTTTCCTTAGAGATTTTTGGGCTTTACTCAAATTTTTGACCCCTAATTGTAGGCAAACATGACTCATATGTCTTTCCTTTCACATTTGGGTGTGCACTGGAAGAGACATAGACTTCTGCACAAGATTCAGTAGCGTTCCATCCACAGCTTTTAAGATAAGCTGATGCCTGTTAGTGCTAAGCCAGGGGTGAAAATGTCAAGCTGGCCAACAAGCTTTGTAAGCAAGTAAGTTAGCTGTACTAACTGAAGAAAAACCTTTGGACTTAGCACTGGACCAGGAGCTAGCCCATCTGTCCCTGCAGATTTTGAGATAGGAAGACCACATAGCCACATTCATGCACTTCTGTTTTGATTAAACTATTATCTCAGCTGAGGATCAAAGCAACTTGCTCATGACTAGTTTGAAAAAAGGAAAAATACAAAATAAAATATCCATAACTGTGTGTTTATACCGATAAAGGACAGAAAGGTTAGATTTATTGATTTTTTAATACAAATGATGATTTCTCTCAGTAAAGATGGTGATGATTTCATCCAGGGGTTTTCAACTAACTGTGACCCAGGAACTACCATTCTGACTAAAAAGTAACCTGAGGACCACTGCTGTAGGGTAGATAGACTGGAGAGGCACAATTTTAATCCTAAAAGTCACTGTGGCTTTTCTAAATGTTACTGTATATATTTACATGAATTAGATTATTCACAAATAATAAGCAATATGTAGAAAAGTGTTCTGATTCCTTCAGTCAAACTACATTAATGAGTACATGGTCAGGAACCACATGCAATGCCTTTGCAGACCACCAAGGGGCCTCGGACCACTGGTTGAAAACCCATGATTTAATCCGTAAGGTTATTTTTTATTGAAGCCACCTTACAGAGTATATAGACTGTAATTGATGCATTAATCAATCATTAAGTTCATCTGCTGTATGTCTTTACTCTGAGATCGACTTAACGTGTGTTAGTATCTTTATGGCACAGGCAAGCCATAACAAAACCAGTCAGGTTGTCAGGTGTCAGTGGGGAGCCCTTCAACTTGGCACAGATGGCAGCCAAACAAACATAAAAGTCACACAAAGCTGAATAAAGAAAAAGTTTGTCTGCCACACTGAATAACTCTGGGAATTATACATTTTGAATATGTTTTCCTTTTGCTTGCTGATTTTTATGACAACCAAATATATAGTCTAGTGTAAAAAGAAAATGAACTGTGAACTGGAGTACAATAGCAGTTTTTACATTTATGTCTCATGTCATATAATAGAGGAACAGACCTTGAAGAAGCATATGGGGCAAGACTTACCTCTTCCTCTGTGGTGTCTACAATATATTTGATGAGAAGCTGTGTGCTACGTTTCCAGCATTTCTTATTTTATTTGATGTCTACAGAATTACAAAGGTCTGGTTAAGTGCTACCATATGTTAAGCCTTTGTGCTGCTGTCACTGACTTAATGTGAATGTGTTGTTTTCCAGACTCTGTTTGTGGTGAATGTGTATGAGACAGAGAGAAAATGAGACAGATGCACAGTGACAAAGAAAGAAATAAAGATACAGTGCTACAGTAAATCACTCATATACGGGGGCTTTAGAAAGCACCTTCAATCTCTGCACACTTTAACGTGTTGTTTATTGTTCATTTTAAATGGATAAACTTTGTATAGTCAGTACAATCAGTAACCCAAAATTACAAAGTGATAATATGCTTTTATAAATGTATTTAATTCAAAGACTGAAATCTATGGTTTACAAAAAGAGCCTTAGTTCAATACTTTGGCAGCAACTACTACATCTTTGACTTTTGTTTGCTAAGTCTGTACAAGCATAGCACACCTGGATTTGGGCAGCTTATCTCATTCTTCTTCTCTGATCCACTCAGGCTCCATCAGATTGGATGGAAGCATCTGTCATCTGTCATCTCCAGCTCTTTCCACAGATGATCTATAGCTGTGCACGTCAGGTCACTGGCACACTGAAAGGTGAACCATGGCCCCAGCCTCAGGTCACATGCACTCTGGACCGGGTCTTCTTCAAGGACCTCACTGTATTTTAGTTGCATTACTTTTCCCCTCAGTCTCCGTGGCCCGACTACTGAGAAGCGGCCCCACAGCATGATGATGCCACTAACATGCTTTACTGTATGGTATGAGCCAGGTGATGAACAGCGCGTGTTGCTCACTAGACATACTGTTTTGAGCTTTGTCTCATCAGATGCCATTTGGCAAACTCAAATTACAGTAAGTAATCATGATGAGTTAATGAGTGTTGCTTGGAAATCATGACAGTGTTATCTATTTCCAATTAAATTAACAACACAGTAGAGTGTGCTGATAGTGACGGCTTCTGAATACTCTTTGAAGCCACTTTGAAGCCTCCTTATTTGTAACAGCTTAACTGCTTTATCTATGACTGTAATAAATCTATCAATAATTCAACAACGAAGTTAAGGTCATATTTTAAAGAAATCGGGAAGAGAGGTTATGCAGCTTTTAAAAAACTGTAACAACATTATAAAAGCACTAAGTTAAGAAGCATCTCTCCTTTATACTGACATAAATCAGGGACTGATGAGGGCTGGGGGAGATGAGGACTCCATAAATCTGCCCCTGTGAATGGCAGGTGAAAAAATAAAGCAAATGAGAGGCTGTAGGAGAAATGTATCTGGAGAGGGGACTTGGATGAAATAACAACCGGTGGAAAACAAAAATGAGAAGGCGAGACTGAGGCAATACGTTCGCGTGTTGAGCAAATGAATGGTGGAATTCTCTACTCATGGACAAGCTGTGCATCACATAAACAAAAGGTCACACTCGTGATGACTGCAGTGTGTGCTTCTATGAACCACACAACTAATTGATTAGAGCCTCAGTCAATCTCATTCCCACTTGCTGCACTACTTCCTACTGCTGTCCACATTTGTCAGCTGCTCTGCTTGCCTCTATCCATTTCTCATCCCCTCCCTTCATCTTCTTCTTCACTGTGCTTCAGATAGAGGAAGTGGTTTGCGTGCAGACTGTGGCTGGCTGGAACACTCTACTGTGCACCGAGGAAGCCGAAATTTGAGCCCCTGTGTGTTAAATGTTCCACAAGAGCAACAATTTCTGAGGGTCAGCATTAGAGGATCTGAAGGGGGTGCAGGGTACAGAGGAGAGAGAGCTGAGGGAACGGGGGCAGCTGCTCATTATTACAAAGAACGTCACCATTCTGCCAGTTAAATTGGTTTTGGTACACATGATATACTGTAGATTTGGATTAAAATCTGAGCACATACCTTCGTTGTATATCATTATCTACTTTCTCCTCCATCACTCTTATCTCTTTCTCTCCCTCTGCTGTCAGCTGGCAAGGGAGGCAGAAAGAAATACAGAAATTTGTTACAGAGCAAAGGAGCAGTGCATGCGCAGCACGTGTGTTTCAGGACATAGAAACACAGTGCCACCTGTGGACAGGCTTTAATCCACCACATATTGTGTTGTTTAATTTTAATTTCTTGCAGGTCTTAGCTCATTTTTTTAAATAGCAGCTGAGGGCTTGTTGTGGAAGTTGTGTGCTGTGGATTTGTTCCAGTGCTCATTTTGAGTTTACCAACAGATTCATCTAAGAGCTTAGAGGCAGCTCTAAGAACTGCAGGAGTAAACTGGCTCTGCATTAAAATAACATACAACAGCCAATGTGAGCATTTCCTGATTTATAAATTAATAACTTAATTTGTCAAACTATAACTATAATTGAAGCTATGGATTTTTATGCTGGCCTATGGTATTTACGGTGGGATATTTGTAGCCAATAAGATCACATGAACCATTACTCATTGCATGACAGTGTGATTTCTGAGCCGCTAGATAGGATGTTTGAACCATGTCTGTCAGACTCACCTCAGGCATGGAATTATCTTTACATTGCAGTTTTTATATTGCCTATGCAAGCAGCCTTTAGTCTGCAGGATTAGTCATCGTATGACTGTTATTATAATGTGGTTTCTGAATGGTGAGTCAGTTGAAGGGCGACAGCACAGGGGTCCCTCAGTGAGCCTTCAGATGTTTCTAGTGGTTTTCACATCAATGCCAGTTTTTGTGAGAGGAAGTCAGCTGGAGTCAGTGGTCGGTTACATCAAATTCATCAGTTCTGTCTTTGGTAATAGTCAACGGCTCAGCATATTGATTAAATGTCTTACAGCTGCCACAAAGCTGACACAATTGGATGGATAATGAGTCATGAAGGATTCCACTGACCAATGATAGGCATCACAGGCCGAATGAAACAATTCATGAGACCCAGTACAAATGTATGAGAAAATGTTTTCTGGCAGACATTCACTGTTTTTGAATGTTAACAGCCAATTTGTATCTAAAGTCCTGCACTTGCATTAACGGCTGTGGAGTATTCACAGGTTGATGCATTACAACCTGTGTACTAGTTGGGCAATGTAAGTCAGTACTTAGTATAGCTCCCGTTTGACAGACATTAATGCTTATAAACTCATATTTTCTAAGATTACTTTAAGATATGAGACATCTAGGGGGTTTCACAGAACACAGCAGGTTTAAGATCTAACCACAGATTTTCAGTGCTGTTCAAGCCAGGGCACTGGGAAGGGACTCCATAACATTTACATCCAGGATTAAAGGTCTTGTATTTACTTTTTACTTACTTTTTCCAATTTGCCCAGATGTGCCTAAACTTTTGTATAAAACTGTAACTTACAGTAAGAAGCTAGTGCATTTATATGAAATATATAAAATATGAATCATCCAGATTTATTTGGGAATCAGTATTCTTAGAAATACTGTAAAGTGGCACCATAATAGAAGATTGTGTCTTAGCTTTGTCCCAATTTGTGGTAACTTCCTGGTTTTGGCTTTTATTTTGACAGTTTTCCTGTCCTATGCCTCCCAGCTTGACTCTCCCTGTTTTAAATCAATTACTTCCACCTGTTTATATCACGTCACCTCTTTGTGGTCAGTGTGTTGTCAAACCTTCACCCATGGTTCATGGACTCTTACCTGCCAGGAGGAGGACAACATTATGGTACCTACCTCCCAGTTTTATCCTAGTTTGTGTTTCTCTTGTAATTGCTGTTTTTAATGTTTGAGACTTTTGCATTAATGGTTAAGGTAGCTAACAATAATGTCACACAGCTAGCCTTAGCAGAAAAAGTCAAGTCAAAAACACACAGGTCATTTGATTACACTTACCTCTATTTTGAATATGTGTCTAGATTGTTAGAGGATGGTGGTTAACAATATAATGGCATAGCTTTAAACTTTAAACCCGTTTCCCAAGCCTTTATGCTTTATATCACCATCATGGATGTTATTTGGTCACAACCAAGAAAAGAGTTCAAATCACTTTTTATGCCTAGAAGAGTCTCTCGGGAATCTGGAAATATTTGTGTTATGACGGTAAATTTGGATAATGTGAATTGTGTTTGTTCCATACTTCAAACATAAATAGCGGTGTGTGCTATGATGGATACACTATAGGGACAAAAGTATTGGGACACACCTTAATTATTAAATTCAGTTGTTTCAACCAGAACCATTGCCACAGGTGTATACAATCAAGCTCTTGACCATGCAGTCTCCATTTGTAAACACATGTGAAACAAAATGTTTGTGAAATTGTTGGATATTCCACAGTCAGCTGTAAGTGGTATGACTGGTAAGCGGAACCGTTTAGGAACAACAGCACTTCAGCCACAAAGCGAAGGACCATGTAAAGTCACAGAACAGGATGATGGGAGAATGTTGGGTGGAGGAGGGTTGCTGGTATGGGGCTGTTTTTCAGGGTTTGGGCTGGGCCCCTTACTTCTTGTTAGGGGCAGTCTTAATGCTTCAGCATACAAAGACTGTGCACCAGTTAGGTCCATATAGACCTGGCTGGGTGAGTTTGGTGTGGAAGAGCTCGACTGGCCTGCAGAGGGCCTTGACCCCAACCTCATCCAAAACCCTTGGGATGAAATGGAACGGAGATTGAAAGTCAGGCCTTCTTATCCAACATCAGTGCATGACCTTATAAATGCTCTACAGAATGAATGGGCACAAACACTCCAAAATCATTGGCAAAGCCTTCCAAGAAGAGTGGAAGCTGTTATAGCTGCAAAGGGGGACCAACTCCGTATTAAAGTCTGTTTTTGAATGAAGTGTCACTAAAGTCCCTGTTGGTGTAATGGTCAGGCGTCCCGATACTTTTGTCTATATAATGTTTGTAAAAATGTGCCTTACACACTGGAGGTAATATTATGACTTAGCCACAAGAGAGCAGCAAACATTTAAAAATGGTGGATCCTCCCAGTTTCCACAGCTGTCTCTGTATCACAGTTAACAACAAGGAACATTCCTGAGGCAAAACAGACTTGCTGTAATTCACTTGCACAGAATGGATTTGTGAATGTAAAGTGAACAACTAAGTCAAAGTACCCACAGTTAATTATAAAATGAATTTTGTTGGTGTTCACTGAGGAAATTGAAAATAAAATGTTCTCTTCTTCCATCTGCACTTTCTTTGAATAGGAGCATGTAGACATGCTCCTATTCTCCAGCTCTGCAGGTCTCCAGGTTTGCCACCTCCACCCAGTGGATGATGTTTCTCTTGCACCTTTTTCATGGTGTAAATTTGAAAGATTATGTACTTTCATTGTCTGGAAGGATTACGCTTCAGAGTCAACTCTATGGCACAGGTAAGTTTCACACTAGATTGAACTCATGCAGGTTATAAAAACACCTAACGTGTCTCTTTCATTTTAGTATCGGTTCTAAACCTGGTAGCTTCATTTACATTGACACAAAAACAGTCAATCGTGATTTCATATAATAAAACCTATGGTATCCCAGCTTCAGTGACAGTATTGTATTGCAGATAAGTTCTGAAGGCTTTCTTCCCCCACCCATAAACTGCATACAGACACAGGAAACATTATTGTTCTAGACAGGAAATGCTGACAGTGAGGCCTCAGATGATACTTGCAGAGACTTGAACTGAAGAGCAAAGTGACTCTATATGTACATATGATTTAAAATCCTAGCATCTAGCCTGTAATGGACTCACTCTCATGTTGTTCAGTATGGGTTCCTTTGTCTCTGTGACCTTTACTCTAGCATGTACAGACACTTGCACGCGCACAGATATGTAGATGCACAAAACAAAGCCGGTATTGTGGATTGCAGCCATTAGCGAAGAGTCTCGCATAGCTATGGGAGGTTAAGCCATGGTAACTGAGCTGGAATCTTGGCCTCTCTCTAGCATCCTTCTATTTAGACAATTAGTATGACAAAGATGTGTTAGTCTGTAAGTGTGGGCGGGTGCCTTTGTGCTACTATACTTGTAGCACAAGAAAAGCACTTCAGAATGTAGAGAGTGTACTGATTCAGCTTGCTGTTGGATTCATCACTACTAAAGACTTAGAACCTGCATCAGGGTAAAATGTAGGCTGTCTACGGTTGAAATGATCATGATGTTTATTTCTATTTCACTATTTCAAATCCAAATGATGTTCACTGCAATTAATTGTATATACATTTGTCAAATGTATAAATCTAATTTGTTTTAATTCATGAAATATTAAGCAGAATTTATAAAATAACTGTGATCATATTATCACAGGTTAATTTCAGTATTTGCTTTGGGATGCCCTGATTGGTTAATGCGTTGCACCATTTATACATGCACATTACGTGTGTAATGACTATGGTGCAAGCCTGGCCATGGACATTTGTTATAGGTTTGCTATAGGTATAGTTATAGGTTTCTACTCATTTCTGTCTCTCTGCAACCCACTGACAAATAAAAGCAAAAATGTCTGGAACATAATATATACACCCACACACAGGTAGAGACTGAGTGAAGGGTAAGGAGATAGAGCGCCATTTTTACCTTGTTTATAAGTGTAATTTTGTGTGTATGCACCTGGACACCTCTGTTTTTACATGTAGGAGTAATAGATTCCTTGGTGTAAAAATCAAAGATATTATCTTCTCCCATTAGTGTTGGTCACTCAGACAAGTATCTATATATGCTGGATGACATGCAGCTAGCCTGAGTAGCACACTGCGACACAATGTCCAACTCCCTCCCTCCCTCCCTCACTCCTCTGTTTCTCCAGTCTTCTGCACTCCTGTCCCAGGAAGCACTGCTCCCGCCTCCTCCTGCAGCCCTGCCTGACTGCTCATCAGTAAGCTGTATTATCCCATCACTGATCATTTTGTGAAAAACAAAGAGAGAGCAATAGGGTGTGTGTGTGTGTGTGTGTCTTTGCATGTGAGCATTTGGTGAGAGAGGAGGGAGGGGTGTATCCTGGCGAAGAGCTTTTCCCTGTTGTAGTAACCATCTGCAGACCGACCATTACTTTACTGCAGCAGCTATCAGCCCTGCTGTATTTGGTGAGCGAGACACACTAACCTGTCTGTCCCCTCCTCTCTCTCTCTCTCTCTCTCTCTCTGCATATTCAGCACAGCTGCCTTCTCTCCTCCTCATCACTCTGCCACTCCTGCGGCGCTGTGCTCTGCTTGAAGAGGACGCTGGCCTGCTCCTCACCCACTGATTCTGCATGACTGTCTCAAAGGTAAGATTGCTTTGGTTGGGGAATTACTTTCAGGGCATCACCGGTAATATGGGCGTTAAGGTCAGACTGGAGTGTGGAGGTTATTTAAGGCATTATTCTCATGTGCGTTTGTCTGTGGAGGAGTGAAGATGAGTTTTTGAGTAGTGTTGGAGTTGCTGGGTAAAGCCAGGATGCCGCAGCCAGAGGATGTGTATGTTAATGAGACTAAAATCATATGATGTGATTATATTCTCTAACCAGTGTTTTACAGGCTGGCCACAGTTTATGCTGGATGTGAGGAAGTTATACTTGACATTTTTGTAGGAGCTCTAACTTTGAGATGAGACTTTGTGTTCAGAGAGGAAATTAAAGATTGGGCCTGGCCTTTGATGACCTAGCCGTCTTTTAAACTACTGTATGTGCAGGATTGTTGAGAGCTGTAGCGTCGGTGCTAATGTTTGGTTGTTAAAGATGTTTTGTTCGTCTATCAGTAAGAATATGAGCACTTATAAGCAGGCCCATACTGACTGGGTGTTTTGTTTGCTAGCAGCTGCAGGGACTAAAGTGTATCTCCTCAAGTCCTGCTGTAGCTCTGGCAAATAATGATTAATAATGCAAATTAACAGGCTACCATTGCAATGTACCATGTATGGCTTACAGTGGATTTCTAAGTACATTACATCACATGAAAACTTGAGTATTTTGGCAGTGTCAGTGTACTTCAGTCATATTGTGTTCTCCTTGACTTTCATAGCTCAGCAAGGTACTGTCTTGGGAAATAAAAAAAGGAAATTTGTCTTAAATAGACAGACAGTAAGTTTGAAATATATACTGGCTGTAATTAGCTTAGTGGGACAACAGAAGCTGTGTTTGAGTCTCATACTTTCTGCACAAAAGGAAAGTTTAATACTTTAACGCTTATGGTTTTGCAGCATGGTGATGTTCCAGGTGGGAACATTCAGGGTCAGTGTGGAGAGCAGGAGAAATGAAAAAGACTAAGACCTATTCTCACTTTCATAGACATGTCAATATTGTCTTATTGCTAATTTGAAAAATCTCCAGCTATTTCCTTAATTGTTCAGTCATATTATGGGAGCTCAGCCCCTGTTACATGCTGAAAGGCAGCTTACCATGAGCAGAGCAGAGCACAACATTTTAGGGCAAGACTTTCTTTTTGGTTAATGTTGGGTTTACACGTGTAGCTATACAGTTATGCTTGTCTGTATTCGTATGTGTATTATTATTATTATTATTATTATTATTAATAAAAGCTGATCTTGAAATAGGTGTGTCAGCCCACTTGGCTGAGTGTTTGTGCACCCCATGTGTGTGCTGGTGGTCAACAATCTATGGTTAACGCTGAAGAAGCCAGATAAATCCTCTTAATCAATTAACAGAGGAAATAGCTCAGCCACTCCCATGTAGAGAATTAAAATGACCCAAAAATAGCTGGCCTACTGTAGACACAGGACAATGGCCTCTTTACTCACACTTGTGGTCACACACCTGCAAGTTCCACACTTCTTAATACAGAATGGCAGCTTGTATTTCTGGCTTGCAATCTGTAACGCAGCACTACACAAACTCAATTTTTCTGCCTGTGTGTGAGAGACATTGCGTGGGAGGCGTGTACTGCTGTGTAGGTGGACGTCATTCACTATGAGAACTGAGAGAGGAAAAGGTCAGGTGCTTGTGTGTTGGCAGTGTACCAAAGCCTAAATCTGACTGTAGACAAGACCAAAGGCACTGGAGAGAATTTTAATGAATATACCTCTGATTTTTTTGCCACTTATTGCATTTTGATGTCTGCAATTACAAAAATGAGGTAAGGAGGAGTGGGGAAAAATACAAAAACGTGCTTTGACATTTCTGTAAAAAAGGTATGAAAGTACATTATCCTTGATGGGTGTGTGGGAGAAGCAGGGAGAGTGAGTCTAGGGAACTCTTTTCATTGCTCTGCCTGCCAACAGCAGTAAAGTCACCTTGGGAGGTAAACAGGAAAAGAGTGTCTGTGCTGATGGGGATAAAAAGCCTTCTACCCCTCAGCCCACAGATCCAGAGTGGCTGCTCTAGAGAGACTGTCCATGCAATGCACACGTAGCGTCAGACCAAGATCTGAGTCATTTGGCCTGACCTCTTAACGTTACAGCACAGAATAATTAGCAATGACAGCATATGCAGACATTTACACATGTACTGTTTCATAAGCATGAGGGAGATGCCCCCCCCTCTTTACAAATGATAGTTACATGCATTTAAAGGAACACTACTGACTACTGCCTTCTGGATTATCTCAGACTCTTTAGCAGGTCTGCATACTCGATTAATCAAAAACTTAAAGGCTCAGTGGAGGAGTTGCCAGTTTAAGGTCTATGAAGATTTGTGCTCTGATCTAACTTAGGCTGCTTTTTGTTGTGAAGCATTTTGCACCAACAACCTATTCAGTGTTGACAAAAGGAAGAAAAAAGTGTCACTCGCCAGATTTAAGATATTTGATTTTTATCAACCAATGGAAAATATTATGCTGGCAACGTCCGGTATGCTGCTATCAGACATGACAAAAAATAAAAATGGCTCTGCAACACAAAGAAAATGTATATATGTAAAGTTGTTTGGGTCACTATCCGCCTCACACCTAAAAACATTTTTACAAGGATAATGCTTTTACTGGTTTTATTTTTTCACAGCATAACTCAAAGTAATGAATGGATTTGGATGAAGTGTTTTGGAGAGTGAGTATGACTTAGGGAACAATCCATTAGATTTTGGTGCTAATCACTAAAGGTTTCTTCACCACAGAGATGGAAGCAAAAATAACGAAATTGGCCCTGACTCCATACACAGCGCCTAGAATGCTTGGTCAAAAATCACACAATAACATCCACAAAAGATCTACCAGACACTAAACTATGGTCTAGATCTAAGTCATATTCCAGAGCTGCTGATCCAGAATGTTTGCGTTTATAGGACTCACGGAAAACGCGCTACTGTGAGGCAACAAGGGATGCTACAGGCTTGCAACTAGGATCAAATTCTAGCTGAAGCTTTGCTGACTCAGTAGGGTACCAGCAGATTTGACACCTCAACAGTTGCTGCTCTAGAACCTGAAGAAAACTTTCAAACCAGTGATGATATCAATGTGATTCCAAATGCTAGAGTAGATTTTCTTTTTAAAGAAATCATATTATGAGGGTCAAACTATCATGGCAATGTTGTCTTTAGGTGTAAATGGCTTTACAAGGACAGTGAGCTGCCTTGGCAGCGGTTTGTGCTGTGGTGTTCTCAGAGATGCCATCTCTTTGTAATAGTTCCCTAAACTTGACAAACTAATCATGTATACTGTATGATGGGTAGTATGTGTCAAAACAGATTAAGTGGAAAGTTCTTTTTAAGAATTTAAACACTTAATACCGTGGGGACTGCAACCTCTGCACACACTTGCATTGTGGGGACGTCGCCATCCTGAATTTTAGTGTGATGATGCTGCGGTTAGGTGTTAGGCAAGTAGTGGTGATGGTTAGGGCAGGTCTCCAGAAAACGAATAGGTTGGTGTAAATTCTCCACAAGAAATTATAAACTACCACTCACTCCTCTGACAAAATGCTGACAGAGAAAATGGGTCACTGCAGACACGGCCTCATTGGGTTGAGTCCTGTAGGTTTAAGAGCATCATCAACCCTCTGTATGTAACTGTACCAACTCGAGATATGTTGCCACTCTGGTGGGGAGGATGTATTTTCCTGAGGCCTGACACAAAAAGGGGAGGGCACATGACACAGGCTTGACTCGGTGTTATTACAGTTGCAATGTATGCATGTTTGTGCATTAGCCACCCCTGAAAACTTTTGTATTCTGTGGGATGAATTGTAGTGTGGTTTTTCATGTCCTGCTGTCAGTCCACAGGGATCATGGGAATGGCATAATGACCTTGGCGGGATCACTCTGTGAAAGAAACTGACCTCAGAAAGCTGACCTCACCCAGGCTTTTATCTGCCAGTGACCACTGGCAAGAAGAGCTAGCATAGCAGCAAGTTGCTGGCCTGTTAAGCTAGTGGAGTGAATTTCTTACTTTTACTATCACTGTGTGGGAATGCTGTTACAAGGGCCCCGGTAGCTTCATTGTAGCTTATCTATGCATTATTGATACTCCAAATGTAGAAATGAGAAGATATTAAAATAAAAGAATATTGTTCTGCTGCATGCTACTCAGTGGTATAGAAGAAAACTGCAAACACACAAGAGCACAGCATGAGATTATTAAATCTAGAAAGTCTGTTCTCATCTGCTTTGTGACTGCAGCCACTTGTAACCTCCATTTCTACTAAATTGGTACAGAGTATTAGAGATCTTGCGATACCAGCAGAAGAACAAACCAGTTTATTGGCTGTGTTTTGACCTAAAGCAGTGTGAGTTAGTGTGTCTGTATCCTCTAGGCTGTTGGACTTGATCACGAAGTAGCCAAATCAAACCATGCAGTTTGCAGCTGCTCCCTTTCATAAGGAAGAACAAACAACATTGAAAACTGCTCAGCTCTGTTTGCTCCATAAAAGACCACTTCAGTGTCCTCCAGCATTGCAGAGGGCGAAAGCAGCTCGCTCTCATGCTGATTGTTGCCCTGAGTTACCTTCCTATCAGATTTAGTTTTGCTGTCAGTCCACAGGGATCATGGGAATGGCATAATGACCTTGGCGGGATCACTCTGTGAAAGAAACTGACCTCAGAAAGCTGACCTCACCCAGGCTTTTATCTGCCAGTGACCACTGGCAAGAAGAGCTAGCATAGCAGCAAGTTGCTGGCAAAGAAATAGTTGCACAGTTGAAAACCCCGTTGATTGCGACTTGCATGGCAACTTCTTAAATGGTCCAGTTGTTTTTGGTTGGATACCACAGAGAGAGCATTGTGCCAGGACCGGGGAGGGGGTGAGAAGAGGCTGTTGAATGTGTCTTCAAAAGTTATCTCCAACTTGTTCTCTTACATAGTTTTCCCTCCTTTTACACAAGTTTTTCACTGAATGGTTGACA